AAAGACGATACCATGCAACATAACACAAGTTTAATAATTTGCAATGATCTTTCTTTTTTTGGGTTTTTTACATTGAATGCTCATGACATTGAACAAAACAGAAATTAATTGTGCACTTTTGGACTGAATATTTCCAATTTACATGGAACATCAATTACTTTATCTAATTGGATAACAATTAATGATAAGAAAACAGACACGAATCAATTTAATTTTTCAATCATCTTCAATAATCTTAAACTCGATACTTCTCTCTCTCTCTCATTGAGATTGAAGCGCGAACTGGTCCACCGGTGAGCACGTACGCGCCGTATAAGCAAAACACTCAGCCGCTTGCATGCATGGTTTCGAAGTGGAGTGAATGCCTATTCCATGGATCGAAAAAATGATATGATACCACATAAGAAGTATAATAATAATAATAATAATTTGAAAAATGGGATTTTTTTCTATATTGAATGAACATGAACATGAGAATAGTTTTTAGAATGTGTAAATATATTTTCACATTTTTGCAAGTCAAAACAAAAGAACGATTTTGAGATAATAATTGAAGTAATAATGTCTGATTTTTCAATCATAAAGTTCATTAACATCTTTTTCACTATTGTCGAATTTTTGATGAGTACTCTGGAACCAATGTTTCAAGGGGTGCACAGTCACCAAAGCGCAGCAAACTAACTCCTGCGCTGTCTTAATTTGTCGATGAGTGTGCGGATGGACAGTTTCTTTGAAGAAACAATTGTCGATGTTTGGACAATTGTAATCTTCTAAATTTACAACGTGGTAGGAATCACCAAGCAGTTGTTCCACATAGTGCTGTTTCTTTAAGCCTTTCACATAAATTTTCCGACTATTCAGTAGAAAACTGTGAAAAACTTTGTCAATGTTATTATAATTACAACCACCAATACTCCATTGTATTCCATGATGATTACGAGTTAGCCACCTGTCGTTATAATATCCTGCCTCTCCAGATCACTCCAGGCACATGGTGGTTGAAAGAGGATGTTGATGGGGGGAGATTCTTCAATGTCTGGCGACTGTTGCACTGCCATTGCACTCAATTCTTTTATGATAAATTCTCCTCGTTTTTGGAATCCGTGCAAATCAATGATGAATGCCATGCTGTTCTTGTGCAAATGATGATTGGATAATTTCTGATAGTCCAATTACTCTTACGTTCAGAGCGGAGATCTGCAGTATCCCCTCCTCTGGGCTCGTGTGGTTCTTCACTGGTTATTTCCCCCCCCCCCCCATCCACATCCAATTTTTTTCATTGCGTATTGTATACTATGGAAAAATGAGCTGAGGACATCAATTGCCACAGCCTCCATTTCCTCCAGCGTCTCAATATCTGCACTACCTCCCTTCTCATTGTGTAAATCACATTCAGGGGAAGTCCCACCCTCACATGAGCTGCAATCGGGAGATGTTCCACACACACTTCATTCAGCCACAGGTCCTTGCATAAATATATGAAAATCGTTGCTTTTCACAAGGATTGTGCGAACCCCAACCAGTGAGAGATAAACTTTTGTGAGACCATTGAATTGTTGAATAGCTCCATTGACATGGGTAATCAGCGATGGCACAGGTAATTGCATGAACCATTGCAACGGTATGATGACATTCTCCAGAAGACGCTTGTATGTTTCTC